CGGCCAATCACAATGCACTGGATAGCTGGCCAATCACAGCACACCTTGCTTTTCAGACTGATGAGCTTTGTAAAAATCGACGCGTTTCAGAAAGGCGGGGCATAGAGGAGAAACAATAATGTACAGTATGTGGAAAATAATGTTTTTTGAACCTTAAACCACATAAACACATTTCATTACACCAAATACACCAAATAATGTTCTTTTTAGCAACATCATATGACCCCTTTAAAACAATAATATACCATACTTGTTACAATTACGATTACAATAATACACCTGTGGTTGGTATCAGTTACATCATGGTAGTTAATTTGGATAATTAATTAAAATACTATTTTTCAAATGTCAGCAATATATCAGTATTATAAATAAGTAAAATGTAAAAATATTGTGTAATATTTCACAGATTAAAGTAAATCGAGTCCTTAAACTCTGCACTGTAATAATCATTAATTACTAGGGCTGGGTAAAAAATATTGATTTCTCGATTTTTATCAATCCTCATATTTCCGAAAAACTATCGATTCTTAAATCCCAAGAATCGATTAGTCTAGCCTTTGTTACTTTTGATATGAAACAAAGCCACAGATTTAAAATTCTTACCATTTTATTACAGTATTCAAACAATAAATACCATTTTGGCGCTGTTTAATGTGGAGTGTCAGATCGCTATAGCGGCAGCGCAAAGTGCATGTGAACTGATCATCTCCTCCACTTTAATATCAGTTTCAGCACGAAATAAACATGAATATACATCTGAAGGTATGTTAAAAGAAAGAGAACAACTAACCGAAATCCGTATCCTGTCATGTATTCAATAACTTAGTGTTTCGACTGTGGAAAGATGTCAATATAACAGCTTTTAAACAATGTCACATAGCGTCACATTTACCTCAAAAAACAAACATATTCGGTGGCCATAAAGTTGTTAGTCAGCTAGAAAAAAAGAACTCTAGAGAGGAGCATTTTGCTAAATATATGCACCATATAACATATTCATTATAATTTTTACTGTTCTTCGATGTTTAGTTTATGTTTGAATAAATCTGTCAAGTTTTTAGCCATCATTTAAATGTGTATGTTCAAAAAAAAAAAAAAAAGAATTGGAGTAGAAATAGTTGTTATTAACTATTAATTATTATTATAAAAAATGTAATTGTTAATTTTAACCTTCAGTATTAAAGTAAAGTAGTACCAAATGACTTTCATGTGTATTTTACAGCATTAGTTGAAAGATTTTTTTTTCCTTGAGAAAATTTGGCATGTACTGTACCTGATATTGAATTGAATTGAATTGAATTGAATCGGAAATCGGATTGAATCGAATGCTTGTGAGTTATAATCAAATCGAATCATGAAATTTGTGTCAAAACCCAGCCCTATTAATTACGCTTTTACAGTAGTAATAATAACCATGGTAACAATTACATATTCTCTACTCTGTCCTAAAAGAGTCCACAAAATCCCATTTTTCAACCTCATAACCCTACAATGCATCAGTCGGCCTGTTGGTGTGAGGTGCCCATTTTCTCTTTATTGTTTTATTGTTTGAAGCAGGTGCTGGTTATAGAGGCTGGTCTTCTATGCGATGGTGTGTTGTGCGGGCAGGCAGCCAGCGTCGTCTGTGTGGGTGAGAGCGTTTCGCGAACAACTCGGAATGACCTTGGACACCTTTGCGTTTCCCACTGGCAGGCCACGCCAATTAAAATTCCACAGGTAATTAAACCACATTTGAATACGGGAGTGGCGGAGGCAGGCTTTGAGTGGGACTAAGGTAATTATGGCCGAGAGAGAGAGAGAGAGACTGTGTGTGAGAGAGAGAGAGAGAGAGAGAGCGAGAGAGAGAGATCTGCGAGCCTTTCAGAACTGCCGGGAGAAATAATGACTTCAGACAGCTCCTGGTGGACAAATCCTCTGATGAACTTGACTAATACCAGCAATGGCCAGAATATTAGCCCGGACCTGCTCCGTTTGATCATTTCCACAGCAACCGTCATAATAACGCTGCAAATATTGCTCTCAAAGTGGCGGAATGATGAACGAGAATAATTTCTCCGTCTGTTTCTAAAAACATGTGATTATTTTTTAATTAAAAGTCTTCAAATAGTCGTTCTGTTACAATGAGGGACCTCAGATTAGCCAGCAGAAATGCTCTTTGGTTTTAATTGGCCCGAATACAAAGAGCACGTTCAGGCTGGGGTCTGTCGTGGATTCTGGCTGCTGTGGCACCAGGTACGTTCTCGCAGAGTGTGACACTATAGGGCTATGGAGGCGAATTCAGCAGCTACAGCTGGCTGTTCGAGTTCGAGTTGCCATAGGAGCGTGCGGTTCCTCTGCGCTCCTACACTGCAGCATCCACAGGCATGCGTGGCAAGGCGCTGTCACCATGGTGATCTCCCCCTCAGGAGTGGGATTTGCCATTTGAGCAGACAGACAGAGTGAGAGAGAGAGAGAGAGAGAGAGAGAGATCAGTGATTCTGAGCCTGACAGACATCTCCCTGCTAACCTCCCTTCATTCTGCGCCCTCCCAAAAAGCAGAACAAAGGAGGTGCTGGTGTTGTGCATTCTGCAGGGCTCTTTCTGTCTCTGCAGCTCAGTTGCCTTCTCTGTCACTGCGGAGCCCGGTCCCCCTCTGCCTAAAAACACGCCGTGCAATCACACTACCACACACACCGAGAGGCTGTTTGCAGTGATTATGTCCTTGGCGGTTCAATTTACTGCAGAGGTTCGTCAAGTCTGACCCTGGAGCAGGGTTTTACATCTCGCCGTGGTCTTCGGAGGCATAAGTCTGCCATTCACACAGGTTCGGATCTACGTGAGATATCAGATGTGATGCAGACAGAGGGAAACTCTGTACTGGGTGTTGACTACAGGATTTATCCAATGGGAAAAGCAGCTCTCTTAGTAATAAAGATGTGTTGCATGGGTTAAGATCACACAGATGCACAGATACACACATCTGAAACGTATGTGTGTATAGCAAACTGGGTTCTGTCTAAAATAGCCAAGGAAAATATATGAATGTTGAGCAAAAATTGCAGTGCAAGTAATAGGTGAGAGCGCAACTGGATTTCTGAAGGATATTTCAAAATATTTTTTTCAGTTTCTTCACAAATCAAAGCCATTATATTGAAAACACAAAATATCTGACAAAAAAGCCAGA